CTCTAATTTTTATTTCTGGCCGGGCTTTCGGTTGCCGGCCTGCCTCCTTTGGGGGACCCCCTTCCGTTTTTGCCCTGCCGCGACAGCCCTGCGAGGTAGGCCGGTGCGAGCCCCAAGTCCACCGGGCAGCTTCCGTGGCCGAAGAACCCGGCTCTCCCCGGGGCCCGGGCCGCACCCTCCCCGCCACACCTTCCCATAACTTTACTATGAGAAGGGCACGGATCGTGGGTGCCCATCAGGAAGCGGCCTTTGCCCAGGGAGCAGATCCCTTTTCTTGGCAACGTCTGGGTTAGGCTGGAGCCGCGAAAGGCCTTTGGGGTGGAGGAAGCAGCCCTGCTTTCCCCTTTCCAAAATCTATTTAGGCTTGTTTGGGTGCAAGGAATTGCTTGAAATTTTGCATTGGATCCCTTGCAGGGTTGGGGGGCGGTCTTTCCAAAAAAGGCTCTGTTCTTCAAAGGTCACCCAAAAGGAATGAAAACCTGAGTAAGGCTTTATTTGCGCGTGTTGACGTTCAGACCTTGAATAGGTTTGTCATCCAGTCTATTTATTTATTAATTCACGGAGGGGGTGATGATGATGAGGGTGATTAGAGTCCTATTCCGCCTTTTTTATATATAGCTCAAGGCAGTGGGCATACCTAATACTCCTCCTCCTCCTCCTTTCCCTACAACAACAACCCTGTGAGGTGGGCTGGACTGAGAGAGAGGAACCGGCCCAAAGTCACCCAGCTGGTTTTCATGCCTAAGGAAGGCCTAACTCACAGCCTCCGAGTTTCCAGGCCAGCACCTTTTCCACTACACCAAACTGGTCCTCTTATATCTTAGAAAAGACACAGGGTTGACTTCTGGGGAAGAAATAGCGAAGTGAAGTGGAGCCAACAACCGCAGTGGAATGAAGAGCCGGCAAGTAGATCGGCTCTCGGCAAGTAGACCGGCTCTTCGTATTTCTTCTCTGGACAAGGAGAGGACTTGAGATCGCCTAGAAGTGCTCCATACAGTTTCTCCTCGTGAGGAGACCACAAGACAACAGTCTCCAGCAGGTTTATAGCTCTGGGAGACAGGGAATAGTCATCTTTTTGCTCAAACCGCAGTTGGCGCCTTCAAAAGGACCCTGGGTTCACATACTTCCTTTTCTAATCCCTTTCGGAAATCGCTTGTTAACTGTTTGTCAGCTATTGGGACCCTTTGGATCGACACATTTTACAGCACTGAACGAGTTGCCTTCAATCCTTAGCGAAAGAAGTTTTAAATACAAGTTTAAGGGCTTAAAAATAATTTATTTTGGAATAAACAGCAAAAGGGTGATTAGAACTGTGGTTTTGGAAAGTTGCAAACGGACTGAGGGTCCAGATGGATTTGAAATAAGCTTTTGGAATGAATCATCAGAATCCTTCCCATGGGAAAATGATTTTGATTTGAATTCTCTTTAAAAAAAACATCATAGGATGACACTTTGAAGGTTGGACACTAGAGGAAATGAGAAGAAATTAAAAATTACAGTTAAAGAACACTTAAATTGGACTTACTAATACAGAATGGAGCAAAATACTTTAATGTTGGACATATTGAAGGATATTTTTGAACAGTGGACCCAGAAGTTACTTTTAAGAGTGTGTGCCTCTATAGATAGACTGTGTTTAAATGATGTTATGGAAGAGGAACAAGTTCTAGCAGACAAGACTGAGACTGATCTGAAAGAGGATGTAAAAATGACAGGCTACAAGAATGATATAGAAAAAGATGCTACACTGGACATATAAAAGAAATTGGCTGATGTCTTAATAATTAAAAAGGATATACAAATAACAAACCAAGAGAGTGACCTGGAAATTTTCCTATATTGGATTTACAAAAGAGGCTTGTGAAGAATAAGTTCTAGGACATTATTTAAAGGGACTAAAGATTAAGATTATTAAAAGTCAAAGGAAGGAATATAAAATGGGTTTATTTGATCAAGATTAAAATAGATATGTTGTTATCTCTGGTTACCCTTAATGAACTTCTGCTAATCAGGACTGAACTACAAAGCTTTAAGGATTTGTTTATAGATAAGAGATGGGATATGGGAAGCAGAGATCCTTTGTTGTATTTTAAGAGAAGGCGATAAGTTACTATAATGGTTTGTACTTGCGATGAAGGGGGAAGTTATTTCTTTATATATTTTCTTTTTCTTTACTGTATTCTTCTTTTCTATTTTTTTCTTTCTATTTTTTCTTTGTATTCTCCGTTTTTTAAAGAAGTCTTAAAAAGCACTTTTAAACATTCTAACTCAGTCTAAAGCCATGCTTTTATGGAGGGGGGAGAGAAAGTAATGGTTAAACTATGATAGTTGTATGAGTAGATGGTTGTGTGAAATGCATTTATATGTATGATATATGAATGAAGGAGAGCTGATGTATGATACATGAATGAAGGATATATGTATGATACATGAATGAAGGAGAGCTGATGTAATGCGTAATAAGACGTTGATATTTAGGTTGTCTTCCCCTAAATTACACGTGCAGGCCACTAAATCCCATCATTCAAGGCTTTGTGCACCCTTAAATTTTCCACGTGTGCGTGCCTTCAAGTCCATTTTGATTCCTGGCGACTGCCTGGACAAGTCCATGAACTTTGCTTGGCAACGTTTTCAGAAATGGTTTGCCCTTGCCTTCTTCTTCCTAGGGCTGAGAGAGAGGGACTGGCCCAAGGTCACCCACCTGGCTTCATGCCCGAGGCAGGACTAGAACTCACAGCCTCCCAGTTTATAACCAATGCCTTTAACCGCACCAAACTGGCTCTCTGTGCAAAAATGTGCTTCCCTTCCCAAAGACGTACCAACCTGACCGTTTCATATTCTTCTCTTTTTTCCAGAGCAATCTGCCACGATGGGGAAACATTTTGGAAACTTGATGAAAACGAGGCATATCGTCAGCTACTACCTATCTCCGTTTGAACAAAAACTCTACCCGAGCTACTCTCGTAAAATCTTAAACACCTGGAGGCGATTTACATCATCCATCTTCCGGGTGGCACCTCGTAAGTGGGGAGGGCAGGGAGGTTTCGTTCTAGGTTCCTCTAAAGTTTTGCTTTTGGACTGCTTTTACTCTGGAGGACTGGCCCCCTTAGAAATTAGCACGCTATTACTCAAAACTGGAGTGAGAGGTACTTACCACAGTGGGGAGAGCCAGCGCCTCCTCCAGTGTCCAGGATAGGATGTCTACGCAGCGAGAACACCTTCAATCTGTCAACCCTTCAAGGTAAACCAGACTTGAACACCAAAGTCATGACCACTGAAACAACTTTTATTATACGGTCACAATGGCAGAATCTTGCAACTCTGAATGTGCCTCCCCTCTTCCCTGCCTTTATCCTGAACAGAACTAGGGAGAGTCAAGTCTGAGATGCTTTTTCATATTCCATTCCTGCTTTGGACTCAGATTTCACTTATCTGACCGCTGCGGCTCTCCCTCCTATTCCTCCTGGTTATTCTCACAGCCCGTTTCAAAACTAAATGGATCTTTTCTTGGGATTGGGTGTCAGGAAGGCATTGCCAACAGGCGCTGCATGGGCTCTCACGTTCACCTTGAGAGGCCTTCTTCCATCTTATCTCCGTTAAAAACCATCTAAACTGGGGTCATCCAGTTGAAGAGCAGTGCGTTAAACCATCTCCAACAGAAGAGAAAATCTATAGCTCAGGGTCGAACCGCAGCGTCCTTGGTGCTCTCTGAGCTTGGTGGTTTGCTTGCAGACGTTTCATGACCCAACCAGGTAACGCCATCAGTGCTAGGGAGTGTGGGGTTTGTTCCCTATTTATAGTGTGGTTTTCTACACCCCCACCAACCAAAGTGGTTTTCCACACCCCCACCAACACTGGCAGGGCAAGCTGCTGAATATGAACGGAGCAAGCCCCACACTCACCTGCACTGATGACGTTACCTAGTCGGGTCGTGAAGCGTCTGCAAGCAAACCACAGAGCTCAGAGAGCACCAAGGATGCCCCAATAAACCATCTCTCTGTTCTGTTGAATCCTTCCTTTTTCTCTGGCCTGAATCTCCCCACATTGTGAGAGAGGGAGAAAGCCTTTCTGCTCAGGCGTGCATTTATATCCCCCGACTTTCTTTCCAGATGGGATTCATTTATCTGTGAAAGTTTCTGATCGGAGCGCTAGGTGGGGCAAGAGAGCGGAATGAAATCAGAATCTTCCTGTCCTTTCGTTCTCGTTAAAGGCGTCGGTGCTGTTTTTCCAACACTTTATTCCCTGGCAGCTTGACGAAAACAAACAGCAAGGAGATAGACAATGAAGCAATTAAATTAAAAAACATGTCATTAAAATATTAATTAGCCTGGCTAGGCGAGCAAGCGAAAACAGTGGCTTGGCTATTTTGGCGTCTTCTCTGCCTCCATCCTCAATGTCTTTATTGCAGCGATAAAGTCTGGTTAAGGATTAGTCATCTGCCCTCCTGATAATTCTGGCTGATAGTGTTTGCATATAGCAGTTTAAATATATTCAAACAGCTTTTGAGGCGATTAGTGTAATCCATATATTATAATATGCATTAAGAGCTTCAGGTTTGATATGATTTCGATTAGCATAAGCTGTGCCTAAGTGAGGGTGAAATTCAACTTTGGACATTACCATTTAGACACAAGGGAAGGGAAAACTTGGAAGCAATGGGAAACATTACATTTATCTTGGGGTTTTTATAACTCTCCTTGGTAGGTCTCCAGTATAAGGGTATGTTCTTAGATTCTACTCTTCTAATGACCTTATAAAACTGAACATGGCATTAACGTTAAACTGCATCATGAAATAAAATAGCAATCATTCAGGTGCCGGAATGAAGATTTTTCTACAGAACTGAAATATTCTTTAGTAACAATCAGAGCAGAGAGGTGAACCGGAGAAAGGAGTGACTTGGCTCCAGTGCCTAATTTGAAATATTGTAAGCCATCCAGAGGTGGGCGGTTTTAAACATCGAATAAATAAATAGCACGGGAGAGATTTAGAATTAAGCATTCCTTCTGAAAGTGGAAAACATGGTTACTGTGCCCCCAGTTCTATCATGATTAACCTTCTATGCATAAATGTTCTCAAACAAGGGTAGAGAATTTATAACTCGCTGGAAGTTTAGCTTCCAATGTACACCAGCCCCAGCTAGCGTGGATGGGAGTTATTTTATTTATTAGATTTACATCCCACCCTTTTTGTACAAGAGTTCAAGGTGGCAGACACAGGGTTCCCTCCTCCTTTCCCCCCCACAACAACCCTGTGAGGTAGGCTGACCTGAGAGAGTCATCCAGATGCTTGTGTAGCTAAGGGAAGACTTGAGTTGGGTTTCTCCAGAGCTGGTCCAATGCAGCCATAATACACCTATCCTGGCTTTGCTCTTCATGTCTGTTTGTTATATATATAGATTCCTATATCACTCCTTCCACAAAGTTTCTCTGTAGCAACAGCAGACCTGTGAGGTGGGATGGGGTGATTAAGAGGGTCCTAGTCTGACAATTTAACCAGAACACCATGCTTGTTTTCCTGTTGTAGATCAGTCATAGCTGAGGGACTGTAGGCTCCCCACCCTGTTTAAAAGGAATGGGTTGGGGGGGGGGTCACATTTGCTGGGATAATATGAAACAGGAGGAGACTGTACAGTTAATTATTGTGATTAGGCCTTTTTAGCATATAATTTTAATTTTAAGAGATGAGACTGGCCGCATCCTTCCGGAAGTCCCTTAAAACATGGCTGTGTCAGCAGGCTTGGGGATCTCAAGGAAATGGGGATTTAATGAGACGGCTGCATTGTTTTTAACATCAGTTTTCTTCCACTCTCTTGTTATTAACAGTATTGTTGATGTCTTTGAACTGTACTTGTTTTAATATTTTGATTTTAGGATTGTTTTTGTTGCGCGCCACTTAGAGTCACCTTTCTGTGAGATGGGCAGCTGTATAAATACGATAAATAAATAAAAATGGGGCAAAGGTTTTGGTTTAAAAATGCATTTGTAGCCGGGCTGTTTGGAAAGGTCAGAGAACGGGCATCAAGCTGTTGGATGGAAGGTCTTTAGATAGCAGGAAATGATGGAGCTGGGCAAACTGGGTTTGATTACTTTTAATGCTGAAATGCAATCATCAACTTTCATTTCGTTCTGTGTTTTTAAGCGCTTTTAGTGGGATACCTTGTTTATTCCTGGGGAAATGAGTACAACAGAAAATTGAAAAGGAAGAACCCGGCTGACTATGAAAATGATAAGTAAGCAGATTTGCGGGAAGAAAACTTCTGCCAGCTTTTATTCCTTTTGGTTCTGAAGATATGATGCGTATTTGCAAGAACAGATGGATTCAATAAACGTCTGTATGTTCCATCCGTGGGTGTAATTCTTTAAGCTTTGTCAAGGGACGCACAACTTTTCTCCCCATAAAGAAAATAAATATAAGTTTATTTGTGAGGGAGGCTGCATTTTTTCTTTTAACTCAGTGGGAAATTGTGCTGCTGACATTCACTGTCATACACCAGAGCTAAATTTTGGCTGGGGGATGCCTAGAGGGACTCCCCCTGGCTAAAAAAATTCTGGGCTTCATGAAATTAAAAAAAAAAAAATCATTACATTCACTTATGTGATGTTCTAAAAAATCCCAAGTTTAGAAAGATAAAGATGACCACATAAAGTACTTAATCTTAGCCAAAAGCAAACAGAATTTTCTTATCTATATGCCTACATGCTCTTAAATAGGGAAGAAATTTTATAATTTTATCTGTATATAATTTATAATTGTCCGTGGCTCTTCTTCTATAAGAAGACCACCCCTGGACTATATTCTTTTTTTAAAAAATTAAATTAATTAGTTAAACAACAGAAAAAATCAAAATCAAAGGGAAACGAAAAGAATACTGTAATAAAAATTAAATTGAATTGCAGGGTGGCCGTGCCAGAGGGGGATGATGGGAGTTAGGTGTCCAAAAGCAAGACAAGAATTTGTCCTTTTTGGCCAACCCTTGAAGGGGGTTCCAGTTTGCCCTTAAGTTTCCCCAAACCAAGGAGACCCCATGGGTATTTTTAACCTCTTCTGAGAGCAAAAGGAGGGGTCCAAAGGTGAACCTTACCTGGGGGGGACTTCCTCGCAGCCCCAATATTTAAATTATTTTGCTGAAGCTTGCCTTTTAACCCCCTGCCCATCCCTTGCTTGAAAAACGATTTAAAAGATGATCGTTTTGCCCCCATCCCAAAATAGGATTTTTTGAAAATGAGACCAGGGCTCCCCCTCTCCCCCAGGAGAAAGGGGCCAGCTTGCCCGTTGGAAAAGAAAACTAAACCTAAAATCATCACGCCTCCTTCCTGCTTTTCTGTAGAAAATCAACTTGGGGAGAACGACGAGCTGTG